TGTTTTGGACTGGAAGTTGCTTGATTGTTGACTTCCTTCAGGTAAGAGCTCAAAAGACCATCCAATATATGCTGTGTTGCACAAGGAAATGGAAAGTTGTGGAAGCTCCCTCTCTGGATACCGTATAAATAGACATAATAAACAAAATGTCAAATTGTTCACATACAGCAAAGACCTGAAATTGGAAAACTCATTTTGATTAAGGCCAAAATCTAACTGGCCTCAAGTATGATAGGCCTGCAGCCCCTCCTACTTGCCCCTTTGCAGAACAAATGCTGGGTGAAGCTCTGTCGCACGACGGAGAGCAGAGGGAATTATTCTTTGCTGCTACATAAACAAGCACTTTTGAGTCCAGCAGCAAGTCTATACTAAATCTGGCCCACTGGTGGCTAGAGACCAGCCAGCCAGCCTCCCTCAAGTCCCACAACCAGTCACAGCAAAGCCATTTCCTTTAGTGCACTTTTCCTCTGCATCATTGGCAGACCCTGCAAAGGAAGATGCAAGAATATGAAAGAGACACAGTAATTTGTATGCCCTATCCCTGTAATTTATCTTCTTTGCATGGATTAGCAGCCCAGCCAGAGCTTGCCTCCTCTACGGTGCAAGTAAACAAAGGAATTTGTGGGTATTGCTGAGTTGGGGGAAGGGGGAGGAACTATCAGGTCCATCTTCAGCTGCCCACATCAGGGCCTGAAGAATGGCTGAGCTGTCAGGTATGCTTTGATGGTTATTTGGATTCAGTTATTCTGATTTGTAATCACAGAAAGCAGCCAATACTTTAATTACAAAATTAAGCAGCAAAATAAAGAGTAGTAGTAGTAAAAATAAAGCCTAAACTGACCTAATCATTTTGCAAACTCAGCATTCCCCCCCCCTCCATTCTTTTCTCCAAAGAACCCCGCTGAGACATTCTGTCACCTGGAAGGTTTTGCAGCTTACTGGAAAGCTGTTGTGCATGGATCTGCCCCTAATGTTGCAGTTTTCCATGTCACTTACACACAAGCAGCTCATCAAAACCCAATGTTTGACTTCACAGGTGATACTATAGGAAATTCTGTGTGAAAATGCATAGATTCCTTATGCTACCATTAATCAAGTTTCTACATTACCTAGCTAAATTTAAGAGGGAAATTGTAAGAGCTTCTGATTTCAGGGAGACTGAATAAGTCAGCAGAATAGCTAAGGGTGGGGTGCTGGAGCAAGGGAGGATGCTAGGTACAGAGTGATAGATAAATATCTTTCTATAACAGCCCCAAAGAGACTTAAACCAATCATAGTAAATTCCCTTACATAAGAGAGAGAGATTAGGGGCCAAGGCACAGCCAGTCAGGGATGTTTGGCTCTCAGAGGCTCAGAACGCTATTCTGTATTATACCTCTTGTCAAAGTCCTTTTTATTTAATTTAAAGTGCTCAAAATGGTTTTTTCTTTCCACATTGCCCATGCCAAATAGGTCAGGATCCCCTAACAGAGCAGATTCACTGGCATATGGAAATAGGCTTTGCTCTCCCTTCCCCAGCTGTTATGCAGGGAAAGGTAGATGCCACAGCTATACAAGTCTGGTACTATCCCTAGCACTAGATCTCAAAAGAAAAAAAAAAGAACAAAAAAACCTAACCCCCAAACCAAAAACAAACAAAACCAAACCAAAACAACCCCCCCAAAACAAAACAAAACAAAACAAAACAAAACAAAACAAAACACATACTTCACCAGCTTTAAGCTACCAGATTGTCCTGCAGGATGGTGGGAAGTTACTACACTAAAAGTTCCTCAATTTGTTTAAGATCTACCAGTAGCCAAGTCAGGAGTTATATTAAAGTTAAATAATAAGCGCTCTAGGAGTAACTGCATAGGACTTTTGTGGTATGTCTGCATGTCTCACAAACACAGCCCCATGTCCCAGCTACTTGATCTAATTCCCCAGATAAATTTCACTCCCGAGCCCTGTGATGAACTGCAACCAGGACTGGAATTGGAGCGACCCCACCCTGCCCTAATCCCTACTACTCTCCAGGCCCAGCACCCTACTATTTCAGAGAACTAAGTCAAAACAAAAAAGATCAGCAGGCCAGTTGAGAAAGTATGTATACAGCACTGGAGAGACTAATCTGCCAAGAGGAGGGAGAGGGTTTGGGTGAAAGCAAGCAGGAAGAACTGATTGGAGCTGTTCTCATGAAGCCTAGCTAGGGTTATTCAGGACCCTACAATAAAGAAAACTAGCAAGTTTAATGGTTTCCCAGCCACCACAGATTTTCCTGCAGAACACAGAACAGGCCTAAACCTGGACAGAGTCCCTTTCTCCTGCTCATAGTTTCATAGTTTCTAGGGTCGGAAGGGACCTGGGCAGATCATCTAGTCCGCCCCCCTGCCATGGCAGGAAAGAGTACTTGGGTCAAACGACCCCAGCAAGATGGTCATCTAACCTCCTCTTAAAAACCCCCAGGGTGGGAGCCTGCACCACCTCACTTGGAAGCTGGTTCCAGACCCTAGCCACCCTGACCGTGAAGTAGTCTTCTGGAGGCTGAACAGGTTCAGGTCCCGTAACCTTTCCTCATAGGACCTGCCCTGCTGTCCCTTGATCATGCGAGTGGCCCTCCTCTGGACCCTCTCGATGCTGTCCACATCCCTCTTAAAGTGCGGCTCCCAGAACTGGACGCAGTACTCCAGCTGCGGCCTGACCAGTGCCGCATAGAGGGGGGGGATCACCTCCTTGGTCCTGCTTGAAATGCATCTGTGGATGCACGACAAGGTACAGTTGGCCTTCCTAGCTGCCTCCCCACACTGCCGAGCCATGTTCATCTTGGAGTCAATAATGGCTCCAAGATCCTTTTCCACCTCTGTGCTGACAAGAGGGGATTTCCCCAGCCTGTAGGTATGGTGCCAGTTGTTCCTCCCCAGGTGCATCACCTTGCACTTGTCTGTGTTGAACCCCATCCTGTTCTCCTCCGCCCATCCTTGTAACCTGTCAAGGTCTGACTGTAGCCTGTTGCTCCCTTCTATTGTGCCCACATCCCCCCACATCTTGGTGTCATCAGCAAATTTGAACAGAGTGCTTTGCACCCCCTCATCCAAATCACTGATGAAGATGTTGAACAGGGCGGGCCCGAGGACCTCACTTGTAGGTGATTGGCGGGCTCAATCACCTACAGGCAACAAATTTTGGAGCATCATGAACAACTGGAGAATTTGATCCAAGGTAGTCTTGGCCTAACACTGCACTGTACTGGGGCGTGATGTTGTGTGTTCTCATCTGCTCAAAGCTCCATGAGCATCATTTCCCTCAGTTTATTCAGTTGTGGATATAGCACTTGCTGTTTCTTTCAGCAGTTGGTTCAATAAAAGATAATACAAAATAATTCTTGCTTCTTGCATATTTCCTGGACCATCACAGCTGTAATACTCCAACCCTATTACAGCAGTGTATATAATACAATACAGGATGTGGCTAGTTTGCAAGCTCATTCAAGTGTGCATTTGCCCACTCTGACCCCTATAGAAAGATTTACATTGATTTCAGTGAGAGGTGGGCCATAATGGGAATGTCAGGGTGCTTTGGGGAGCATGAAGCAACAGGAATTGCCAGACCAGACTGGAGTCTTCCAAGCCTGGTCTTAGAGAACCAGCAGCAACAAGAACTCTGACCGCAGGCATCTGTGGGACAATCTCTCCTCTAGGGGCATTGCATGCTGGCTAATGATTGGAGACAGTCTCCAGCCCTGAAGCAGAGAGGTTTCATCTCCCTTCCTAAACTCTTTATCATTAAGTTAGAACTCTGGAGCTTCCTGCTATCCAAATATGCAGTTCCTCTTCATATCCTAATAAATTCTTACACATACTGACATCCTGTGGCTATGAGTTCCATAGGCCACTTGGTTTAATAGTGTGTCCCCCCATTGCTTTTGTCATGAGACAGATCAAACAGATGCTCCCTATGCATCTCTTCTTGACTGTTCACTATTTTATATACTTGCATCTTATTCCTTTTTGTTTGCTTGTTTCCCTTTAAAACATCCCCGGTCTTTCCAGGCTCTCCTCATGTGGAAAGTGCTAGGAAAATCAGCTTGGATGCTATAGATCTCACTTCTTTGGTACAGCGTCAATGCTCAAATCTATTAGAGCCTCCCAGGTCAATCCCACTGAACTACCAGAAGGCAAATCAGCCAAGACACTGCTTGGGGGAAGTGGGGTCTCGTAACACAGACATCAAAAATCCTGAGTGCAGGCAACTCAGTATGTTGGATCTGACTGTAGACCAATTTTCTGTTTCTCCTCCAAGGGGGCACAAGACATTTGTATCACAGCAAGAGGCCCAGTTTCTGACAGTGATTTAATCTGCACCTATTACCCCCTTCTCAGCCTCACAGAAGCTACTCCAAGGCACAGATTCAGGGTGGAAGCTCAGGGTAGCTGTGGTTTGCAACCCTCCTTTTTAAACAAATAGGAGGACTACAGGAATACCACAATAACCAGATTAGTCCACTAGCCCGGATCCTGTCCCAACACCAACCATAAGCAGCTGCAAAGGGAAATGCATGAACCCTGCAGTAGCAGATGTAGAAGATTCCAGGAGATGGAGAAGGGTTAATAATACATTCAAAGGGTTGTATCATCAACCCTTACACAGAAATGGAAGTAGTGTTGTCCAAGCAACTAGTACTCCGCAGGTCTTAAAAGGGTGTTGAGGCGCTTTTTCAGTTTCTATTAAATTAGCATATCTGCTGGAGATGGGGTCAGGTTTGCTTAGGCTGCTTACTAATCCGAGCTCCCTCCCTTGGCACCAGATGACTATCACTTTGTACTTAAAAGCCTGCCTTCCTTGAAAGAAGGGAGGTGGCTGGCAGGCATTCAGAATTACCTCTCACATTAAAGAGCTGCCTTGTGCCTTGACCCAGCCAAATGGGTGTGCAACAGCAGAGCTGTCCTCTGCTGGCACTGCAATAATGAGAACTGCAAAAGCCTGAGGCATCAACACAGTGAAGAGACAGAGCCACTCCCAGCTCTTCAAGTTGCTGGTTTAATAACTTACATTTACTTTCTACCAAAAAAGGAAAAGCTGCACATATGACGTAAAAAAAGAGAAATGATACAAATAAGGTCTCCTCCCTGCCCCTCCTTGAGCAATGGCAGAATCGCAGGCCCAGCCACTCTCCAAAGCCAGCTGTAGTAAGAGATGCATTTCCCCACCTGGCACTGTAAGTCACCTAGCACCACCCCATGTCCTGCCTTGACACATGGTGTCGCTCTGGAGTGGGCTGTGCAGTGGTACTCCTGGCACGGTATGAGCCCAGTGGATCCCAGTCCCTGGCACACTCAAATTAACAGTCCAAAACCCTGACACGAGTTCGCCAGGGGTGGGGGCGGCTGGATCTTGCAGAGAACACTGCTGCCCCTGACAGGCCAGTGTGGGCTGCTGTACAAAGCCCTTGTGCACTTGTGGGGAGAAGGAGGGAGAAGAGGTGTCATCAGATGCAAGCCCCTGGTGCAAAGGGAGGGCTGCACCTCGCCAGGGCGCACCGTGGGCAGGGCAACGCCTGGCAGGGCTCACCGCTTCTTCTTGCTGTGCCGCAGCATCTTCTTCCTCTTGAGGATCATCTCGTAGAGCTTCTCCAGCCCCTGCTGCAGGCCCAGCCCGTCCACCGCGCTGCAGCCCTGGACATGGCGCAGGGTGGAAGAGCTCAGCTCATGCACGGCCAGCAGCTTCTCCACCTCACTGACTGCCAGCGCCTCGGCCCGGTCCTGCTTGTTGGCCAGGATGAGCACGGGGACGCCCTGGTTCTCGGAGGTGCGCGTGATCTTGTGCAGCTCCACCCGCGCCTCCTCCATGCGCTCGCCCTCCACCGAGTCCACCACGAAGACCAGCCCGTCTGTGCGGCGCGTGTAGGACTTCCAGAGGGGCCGCAGCTTCTCCTGGCCGCCCACGTCCCACACCTGGAAGGCGATGGCACGGGAGCCTGCCAGGGGCACGCGGATCTTCTCCGTGTTGAAGCCCTTGGTGGGCGCACTCTTGACGAACTCCTTGAACTTGAGGCGATAGAGCAGCGACGTCTTGCCTGCCGCGTCCAGCCCGATCACCACCACGTGCAGCGCCTGCAGCGGCGGCAGGAAAGGCGGCGCGGGCGCCATCTCCGCCAGCTGGTTGCCCATGGCGGCGTCACACCGGGGCGCTGCGGGCTGCGGCAGGGACAGGGCGAGATCAGTAGGCGGCGGCGGCCCGGGGCCAGGGGATGCTCCGCCGCCAGCGCCCCGCGCCCCCCTGCCATGAGGCCACACCACCTCCGGCCGCAGCTCGCGCTCCTGCGGGCGCCGGGCGGGCGGCGCCGGCCTAAACCTCCCAGCGCCGCTGACGCCATGCGGCGCGAGCCAATCAGCGCCAGCCTTGGGCGAAGCTGGCTCGGAGCCCGCCCCGCCCCGCCCCCGGCAGCCCGGGTCCCGCGGCCTGTGAGGCGGCGGCGGGCGAGGCGAGTGGCGCCTTCAGCCGCTCGGATCCGCTGTGGCCGGCGTGCCAGAAACGCGTTGTCCCGGGCACCCCCGGGGGGACCTCGTGACTCAGGCGGGCAGGAGAGCCGGCCTCAGCGCTTGGGTCGGTCTGCCGCAGGCAGGGGCCGGGGGGGATGCGCTGCCCCTTATTAGCCCC